TGCAGGTGGCAGAGGCTCAGGCAGAGTTTGCAGAGTGATTTAAAGGAGGAAATGTGTTTGCAGCTTCCCCTGCCGTGAGCCCCTGGAGCCCCTCAGTGCCACGAAGGCCCTGCAGGACACGAAGCCTGAGGGAGAGGCTGCCAACCAGGACTCCTCCTTCTGCCTCTCCCCCTCGCAGCCCTCCGAGATCGGGTACCTGAACGTGGCCTCCCCCGGGGACACCACGGCCTCCCCCCTGCAAGAGGAGAGCCAGAGCCTCTGCTCCGGGAACTTCTGAGCTGCAGTGCTGGGACTGCAGGCCCTGGAGCACAGGGATTTGGGCTCCTGGAGCCGTGGGATGACAGAGTCTAACGGGAGAGAATTGCCAAATGGACTGAGCTGGGGATTTCTGGGATATTTTCCAGCTGAATTCATCCACAGCTTCTTTCAACTTCCCCACCTGTAACTGTGTGTGATCCCAGATCCACTGGAGGCTGGAATTTGTGGGTAAGCTCAGTACAATGGAAAAGGGATGGAGTGTAACTTCCCTCCATCCTAATTCCTTGTCCAGTCCAAATCCATAAACTTTGTAAATAAAACTTGGAGAAGTTCCCTTCTTCCCTGTGCCCGTTCCCTCAGTCCCTGCTCACACACTAGCATTCCCCTTTTTCCAGGCTCTTACTCCTTCCGTGTACTTCCTGTGGAGGGGCACAGGTATGTGAGCACTGGGGAGAGGGTTTAACAAATCCTGAACCTATGGGTCCATTCAGCAATCCCATCGGCCCAGGAATGTATGAAGTGTGGGATGCCTACTACATCCCTTCTGCCTTGGCTCAGTTTGTACCACTGCAGCTGCAAAGTGGGATCTCTTATCACTCTGGATGTCCTCTGGATCTCCTCTGGAAGTGCACCAAACCATTCCTTCACAATTCCATCGATGCCTTCCAGGTGGGCATTCCATGCCAGCCTGTGGAATTCTGAGCAGTTCCTGTGGGTGGCACCATGCCCTCAGGAACAGGTATCCACATGTGGGAACAGGGAAGAGGGTGGCACATGTCCTCGAGTGTTCAGGAGCCTGAGAGGCCCCGAGGAACTCTTTGGCCTTTCCTGATCTGTTCTGCCTTTCCAAGGTCAGAACATCTCGTTTTGGTGTGGCTTAAGAGTGGGAGCCAAACTCCAGTGGTGTCTCCACCCCTTTGGCCCCTTCTGCCATGGATTTCAGTGGGCGCTGCTCACTGATCCCAGGGGGACATGGACAGGGAGGGTTGAGTGTGTGGGGCTGAGCTGTTGGTCCCATGTCACCCTGGTGTCCTGGCTGAGCCTGAGGCAGCCCGTGCTCCTCTCCACCAGTCCCAGCAGTTCTCCCCAGCTCAGGGCATCTCTGTGCTGGCACAGCCAATATACCACAGTGTTCCAGTGCCTCCATGTTTGTCCTATGAGTGGCCCAAAGACAACAGTGCTCGAGGTGTGGCCTCAGCAGTGTCGGAAGCACAAACCAGTGAGGAAAATGCAAAGCTCAATACACAGTGAGGCCCAGAGGAACTGGGTGGAGGTCCTGGGGTTTGTGTTGCTGTGGCTTCAGGGAGGAATATGGAGGTGGTGGAAGCCACATGGTCACAGAATCACAGAATATACAGAGCTAGAAGGGACAAAAAAGGATCATCTAGCCCAACCCCTGCCCTGCACAGACACCCCAACAACCCACCCTGTGCTGAGAGCATTGGCCAAACACTCCTGGAGCTCTGTCAGCCTTGGGGCTGTGACCACTGCCCTGGGGATTTTCATTCCAAGCAGAATGGTGGTTTCACTGCAGCTTCAGCCACAGGTTGGGTTACAGCCAGAGCTGGAGCCTCTGTGGCACAGAACAGCTCTGGGGTCTGGGCAAGTTGCTCAGTGGGTGACTGTTGCCCTCTCCTGCTCGAGTTCAGGAAGGTTGTTTTCCTGGTGGCTGTGCCAATACCAAGCCACAAAATGCCAGAAATCATTTACAGATCAAAGGAGCCAAGAGGAGCTGAGCCTGACCTGAGTTGGGTGAGGCACCTTGGTCCTTCTCCCACCCTGTGACATTGCCTTGGTTTTGGCTAAGAATGAAAGGCATAGAGAAATGGATTTGATTCATAGACTCACAGAATTTAAGGGTTGGAATGGAGCTTAGAGATGATCCAGCCCCAACCCCCTGCCCTGGGCAGGGACACCTCCCACCAGAGCAGGTTGCTCAAGGCTTTAGCCAACCTGGCTGTGAACACTGCCAG